GGAGCAAGGCCGAGGTGGAAGCCGGAGCCTGAGAGCAGCCAGACGCCCTTCAGCGCAGCTGCCTCCCGGGTGCCAAATGGGTGACAGCTGGGTATCTGGAGCAGCGCCTTCGCTCTCCGGGCACCCAGTCTCCAGAGTGGCTGGGCCCGGGACTGCATTTCCGAGGGAGGCCTCTGCCTTCTCCTCCCCCTGCCCCCAGCTCTGTCTGATGGCGAGGGGCTCCCGGCAGGATGCGCAGTATCCCCATGGCCGGTGGCTGATCCCCGGGAAGGAGGGTGGGTCTTGCGTGAGAGAGGACTTTCCCACAGCTCTGCTCTCAACGTGTCTATGTTCATGCAAAGCCTGCTCCCAGCAGCTAACGCGGGCATGTGGGCCACTCAGGGTTTAGCTTTGCTCCCGCATCCCTAAGGGTGACCCAGGCACGGTAAGATCAAGCCACAGAGGGGCCAAGTGAGCCTGCCGGCCCCCAGAGCCAGCAGTCAGCCCAGGCCACTGGACGCCTGACCCGCCTGACCCACAGGAGGTGCCTCCTCCGCTCTATGGCCCCTGCAGGGGGCGGGTGGGCAGGAAGTGGTCCTATGGATATGTGTCTCCCGAGTATTGGGCCCTGTGTGGACTGTTGGAGTCCTGGGGTCTCATGGAACCCCTTAACAGCCATGGGAGAGATGTCACTCCCCCATCTCAGAGGATGAAACGGAGATTCAGGGGGGCAGGGCTCTGGCCAGGGTTCGCCACAAGCAGGGCACGACTGGGCTTATCTGACGGCAGTGCCCGTGCTGGGAGCAGGATGAGGTGGTGCTAACTGATTGCATGTGGGTGGCAGCTCCCAGCAAGGAAGATGTCGTCTGCACGGGGCTGGTCCCCAGCACCTCCCCACCAGGCCCAGAACACCTCCAGGGGCAAGACCCTCGTTGGAGAAACTCGGGGTTCACAGACAGACAGTGCTGGGGCCCCGGGCCTCTGCTGCAGTCGACTCCTGTCTCCAGGGCTGCAGGCCTGAGTGCAGGCGAGGATCTCACTCCGCGCCTGGGGCGGGACACACACACACACACACACACACACACACACACGCACACAGGCACACACACCATTATTTGTAGGAATTCATATGAAATTAAACCTGAAGGGAAGCCTGGTGTGTGTGTGTGTGTGCGTGCGTGTGCATGCGTGTGTGTGGGGGGGAGGGGGCCAGGAGCCAAGCTGAGGCTGGCAGTCAGGGCCACAGCCCTCCCAACTCAGACCCAGGATCTGTGTGGCTTGAATGTGAACACATCCATCCAACAGATAGTTAATGAGCACCTACTTTGTGCCAGGCACTGTTGTAGGTACTGACAGACCGCAGTGCACAGATGGGAGACACAGGCAATAAGCTCATGACAAGTAAATATGTAACAGGTAAAGGGGCTAGAGAGTGGGGGGTGGGGAAGGTTCCGTTAGGACTGGGAGAGAGAGCCCTCCTGGGGCCATGTGCGAATCCTGGGGGCTTTCCCTTGGGGGTCATATCCTTCTTCTTGCTCCCTAGCAGGTCGACCAGTTGTTTGGTTTCTGCTTCTGCATCAACCCCTCATTTACCCTTTTCTGTCCCCATAAAAACCCTCCCTAGAGGTCTGTTCCACAGGACTACCTCGGGGGCCAGTATAAAGTTGGGGACCCCGGAAAGGCCCCAGAGATCACTGAGGCCAAGGCTTCTCAGGTGCTCGACGTAATTTGTCACCAGGGACATGCATGGAGCTACCACTGATGTCCGCCCGGATGGACAATAGGAGAAAAGATGGAAGACACCAAGTGTTGGTGGGGACATGGAGCACCTGGAACTCTTACAGGAGGCTGATGGGCATGTAAGTTTCCCACTTTGGAAAATTGCCCAGCAGTTTAACTAAAGTTGAGCAAACCTGTCCTATGCCCCAGCAAGGCCTGTCTCAGGTGTTTACCCAACAGAAGGCATGTACTGAATGTTCGCAATTGCCCAAACTGGGAACTACCCAAATGCCCACCAACAGTAGAATAAATGACATGGAATACGACTCAGCAATGAGAAGGAGCACTCCATAGCTACTTGGAACAGTACGCATGAATGTCACAATATGCTGTCGAATGAAAGGAGACACAGGTACGGTTCCATTCATATGAAGTTTGGAACAACCTGTGTTGCTCAGAGCCACCACCCTGGCAGGAAGTGTTGGGTGGTGGGGTAGAGACGAGGGCAGGAGCTATAGGGTGGGTACTGGAGTGCTGGTAATATTCTGTTAGAGTTAGATGCTCAGTCTGTGAAAACGGATTGAGCTGTACACATAGATATGTGCACTTTTCTGTGGGTTGGGGTATATTTTCTGTCAATAAAAAGTTTTAAATAGTCAGTGTTGTTCAGGCCTTGACTCCGGATGAATGAAATCAGAATCTCTGGGTAGAGGCGGGTGTTTTAATATACAGTCAGGGCTGGGAACCGCCAAATTCGCCCAACCTGTTCACTGTGGAGGTGAGTAACCTGTGATGTCAACTGAGGGGCCAGCCTGTCCTTGCCACAGGCTCCGTGGACCTGAGCCTGCAGCATCAAGCCTCCCAGCTGGGCCGAGGTAAGGGCCAAGGAAAAGCACTTAGTCACCAACTTGTATTTGTATCTTGTGGGGCCCCTTGTCCTGCCCCAACACTTGGATTTCCCGTTACGTAGGGGACAGAGTTGCAGAGAAAGCACTGGTTTTGTGTCACCATCACTTGTACATTGTGGGCTATGGATACACTCCCCAACCTCTCTGAGCCTCAGTTTCCTCATCTGTGAAATGGGGCGATGATAGCACTTGCTGGGAAGGCTGTGAAGGCAGCAGGACGGTGTTGTCACTTATTAGTCACCGTGTGCCTGGCCAGCCCCCACCTCTGCTGTCCACCCCCAGCGCACTGTGTTCCCTGTGATCCTTCGCCCACAATATGGGTTCTTGGTTTGCAGAAGCTGAGCCCAGGCACAAATCAACAGGATTGGGAGAGTGGGTTTCCCCAGTTCTTTCGATTTTAAGAGGTTTGCCTGGACTGGGAGGGAGAGGCAAGGCAGAGGGCCACCTCCGAAGGCCAAATCTGGGGAGGCGTCTGTGACAGAGAGCAGAGGGACCTGTGTCCTGCCTCCAGCGGGGAGCGCATAGAAGCAGCAGGACCCCAGGGATGCAGTCCAGGGAGCCCTAGAACTTCCTGCCGAGGAAAATCCCCAAACGGCAAAGAGAATCGAACAGCCCCTCTCCGCCCTTCTCTCGTACCCCCACCATGACACAGGGTCTGAGCGGGGCTGAGCTTGGGTAACCTTGAGGGGCAGCCCAGCCACAGTGGCCGGGGGGACTGGCCCAGCTGGAGAGACACAGTTCGGCAGGTGCCAGAGTAGCTGGGAGACAGCCTGGGACAGATCCTGTCCTCAGCACCAGGTCAGACCCCAGAACGTTGGCCTGACGCCAGGGAACCATGTATTCACTGAGATTTATTTCCAGGTGGAATATTCCACGTGGGTGTAAAGGCATCCTGAATTCTCTGGAGTTTGAGTTAATAAGAAATCATTTAAGTTGATGAGAAACCATAAATCCAGTCTCCTGTCATAAATCCCATATCCTCCAAGGGGAATGGGCCTTCGGAATGGAAATTGTTTGCCATGAGAGGAATGGACCAAGTGTACATTTCAGCCCATCGACTCCGCGGCCTGAGATCTGGATGCGTATGTGGGCGTGTAAGCACCTGGAACGCCCCGTGCACGCTCCTGGGTGCTCGATGCACAGGGCTGTGTGTGGCCTTTGCCTCCGGACACTGACAGGAGGCGCCCTTTGCTCCCTTGCACACCTGGGGATCTTCTTCCCTCGCCTGGCCCAGCTGGAGAGACACAGTTCAGCAGGTGCCAGAGTAGCCGGGAGACAGCCTGGGACAGATCCTGTCCTCAGCACCAGGTCAGACCCCAGAATGCTGGCCTGACGCCAGGGAACCATGTATTCACTGAGATTTATTTCCAGGTGGAATATTCCACGTGGGTGTAAAGGCATCCTGAATTCTCTGGAGTTTGAGTTAATAAGAAATCATTTAAGTCGATGAGAAACCATAAATCCAGTCTCCTGTCATAAATCCCATATCCTCCAAGGGGAATGGGCCTTCGGAATGGAAATTGTTTGCCATGGAGAGGAATGGACCAAGTGTACATTTCAGCCCATCGACTCCGCTGCCTGAGATCTGGATGCGTATGTGGGCGTGTAAGCACTTGGAACGCCCCGCCCCGTGCACGCTCCTGGGTGCTCGATGCACGGGGCTGTGTGTGGCCTTTGCCTCCGGACACTGACAGGAGGCGCCCTTTGCTCCCTTGCACACCCGGGGATCTTCTTCCCTCGCCTGGGGGAAGGGCCCCGTCTGCTGTGTGCCTCTGCCCAGGGCTGGCCCACGTGCTGGTTGGTTCGTTTATTCCCCTGTCCTTTGTGGCTCCAGCCTCATTGCACAGCAGCAGCGGCTGCAACCCTGGCACCTGCAAATGTCAGCCTCCGCTGTTTGCTGCAGCCCCGGCGAGTTCTGCAAAGGCCGTTTACACTGAACCCCTTCATCCTTGTCCCCCTCTCCCCGCTCTCTCATTCAGCCCATCTTCCTTCCTGCCTCCCTCCATTCCCCTTTTTCTCTCTAAGTAGCTCTCAGCCTCCCTTCTTTCTCTCTCTTCTCCACCCTCCCTGTCTCTCCTCCTTCCTTTTATTTCGCTTCCCTCCCTCTCTCCTTTCCCATTCGCCTCCCTCTCCCCCGACACTCCTTCTCCCTCTCTTTCTTTCAATTCATGCTTTTTCTTATTCCTTTTTCTCTTTCTTTTACTTTATTTTTTCTCCCCCCCCCTTTCATCTCTTAAATGGTCACAATTTCTCTCTGCCTTTGTCTTCCTGTTTTTTATAATTTTCTTTCCTTCTCTACATTCATTCCTTACCCTCTCTCATTTCCACCCTCTTCCCTTTCCTTTCTTCTATCGTCTCTCTTCATGTTTCCTCTTTTCCTCCTTCCTCTTTCCTCTTCTCACCTCTCCCACCCTGTCCCTCTCCCTTGCTCTTGTCTCTTTATCTCCCAGTTCTCTCTCCATTCTCTTTTCCTGCCTGCCCGTCTCTTACCCTCTGCTTCTCTCTCCCCTCTCGCTCCCTCCGGGGTAGTTCCAGAAACATACCCGTATATGGCCTCCGTGCCAGGGATCACAAATGATGACGTCACGTGAGGGCCAACGCTCGGATGCGCTCCCAAGTGAAGCCCGCAGCTGATGCGCCCTGGAGGAGCTGAAGGCAGGACCACAGCCTCCGCCGTGCAATCTCCAAACAGGAAATCTGAGCCCCAGAACATCTTATAGTTTGGCTTGCATCATTGGTCATGCGGTGGGCCCGAAATAAACTCCCTGCTTCAAAGGACAGCGTTTCAGAGCGGCCAGGCGCAGCAGACAGACGCTCAGGGCCAGGGCAGAAGGAACACGCAGGGAGCATGTGCTGAACTCAGACACTCTCAGGAAAATCCTCGCATCCCCTCCTGAACGGCCCCCTGAGGCAGAGCCTAGCAGGTAATGCGTGCTTTCCACGTTCCCATGCAGACCTCGAGCGAGGGTGTTTGGCTGGCCATGCTGCTTTCTTGCGTCTCCCCCGCTCTCTTTCCTGCTTTCTTGGGTGATGAAGCATGCCGGTGACTTTCATTTCAGATCTGGGGGACGGAGGAGCAGCCGTCTGCATGTACTCATGCAGTCCCTTGTGAGGACTCTCGCTCAGAATGCCCGTCTGCGGTGCACTTCTAAAAATGGAAATGCAAAAGGAGTTATCAATGATGCTATTGTTGCTTCGCAGGCCTTGGGCAATGTGTGTCAGACAAATGACTTTCAGAAGTGCTTTTATTTCGGGTGAATAGATATGTTCATGCATGGGGGCATCAATTTCATGGAGTGTCTATGGGTGCCCGGTATTGTGGGGCAATGGCAACCAGGGTGCCAGGATGCTGGGCCTGCAATGGCCTGGGGTTTAGGAGAGGAAATAGAATTTGGAAACACAGCCTAGGGCTCATGGTAAAGAATGAGAAATGTTATGTGGGAATGCAGAGACGCAGGAATACTGTGCGTGCATGTGTGTGTGCGTGTGTGCGCACGTGTGTGTGTGTAAGCATGAGGACACATGCAACGAGGAGGTGGTCTTTGAAAGGACGGATGGGATGGCATCAGACAGAGGGGTGGAAAGAGGGACTGCAGGTGGAGGGACCGCTTGGCAAAGGCAGACAAGTCAAGGTGGGTCTGGGCTCTGTGGATAGTGCAGTGTGGCTATGGCAAAGGGCCGTGGAGGTCAGAAGTCGGGGTGAAGCTGGGAGCGGGAGCTGGAGGCAGATGCAGATCCCACCAGGTCAGTCAAGAAGATGGAACAGCCCAGCCGGTGTGGCTCAGTGGTTGAGTGTCGACCCATGAACCACTCACCGGTTCAATTTCCAGTCAGGGCACATGCCCAGGTTGCGGGCTAGATCCCCAGTGGAAGGCATACAGGAGGCAGCCGACCAATGATGTTTCTCTCATAGATGTTTCTATCTCTCCCTTCCTCCAAAAATCAATAAAAACATATTTTAAAAAAGAAGACGGAACACATTCTAATTGTTTCCGAGCAGAGGAGGAGCAGGTGGGATCTGACTTCAGGAAGTCAAGGGAATGGACTGGAATGAGGAGGCAGGGAGGCGGCGACTGAGGGTGGACAGGTAGATGATGGAGACCCGAGGCTGGGCAGGGGCCGAGCCCCTCCCTTCCCCCTGCAGGGGGCAGAGAGTAGCTCAATGAAGGGAAAGCTCAGCTCGTGCATGAGGTTGGGACCGGAGTTCACAGGGCTTCCGGCAGAGCCAGCTGGGCCAGCACACCGGCCACAGCCCTGACCTTTGCCATCAGCGGCCTGGGCAGAGCGCAGCGAGGCTGCCAGGGGCAGATGCGCCAACCACTTCCAAAGCAGTCGATGGGTCCCGACAGCTGGTGGCAGGCCTGTTTACAGCACCCCCTCCTTGAGGAGCTGGCAGAGGCCTCCACCTGGCACCACTCTAGTTTGCATCATCCATTCTTGCACAAACAGAATTTGATTCCCAGCTTCAACACCTCCTAGCTGTCTGGCTTTACGCAAGACCCTTAACCTCTCGGAACCTGTTTCCACATCTGGAAAATGGGAGTGACAATCACCTCTGACTCATGGTGCCATGAGTGCCTCGTGGGGGAGGGGGGTCTCCTCTTCCTCCTCCCATATAATCCACCCCTGGAGACCTCACAGTGGATAACAACACAATGAACACCCGTGAGCACTCACCGGGCACTTGCTGTGAGCCAGGCACTGAGCCCAGTGTTTGTGGTCATTTTTCTCATTGACTCTTCTCAAGGGCATTATGAGTGAGAGGTGATTGTCACTCCCATTTTCCAGATGTGAAAACTGAGGTTCCGAGAGGTTAAGGGTCTTGCGTAAAGCCAGACAGCTAGGAGGTGTTGGCGCTGGGAATCAAATCCTGGCCTCTTGGTCTATGAGCCTCTAGTGCCCACCTTCAACGCTACGGCCTCCTGCAGCTGCCCAGGGGACTGACACAGCAGTAAGGGGACCCGTCCCTGGCACAGGCAGGGGTCATCAGATGCCTGTATATCAAGGACAGGACAGACCCAAGAGAGCCTTCCCAAAGGAGGCACAGAAATCTCCTTCCGCTGCCGAGCTGCAGGGGGCAGGCTGCCTGGAGGAGGCAGTTGTCACAGGACTGGTTTGTACTGTGACTTCTCATCCTTAGCACCTGCTCTTGGACTAATGCCCAGGAATGTAATGAAGTTGTGAAGAGCCTTGTGGTTGAGGGGAATGTTTGGGGGGTTGGTTGTGGTGACATGAAAGTGAAGTGGCTCCTTACCTGCCTGCACTTTCTAAAGAAGAGGACACGAAAGAGGGCTGGGAAAGACAGGAAAGACAAGGGAAGCGGAGAGAGGAGAGGAAAAGATCTAAATAAAGGCAGGAAGGGGGTGGGGACAGAAAGGAGAAAGATCTCAGATGACTTTGCTGTGATCTCGGTTAAAAGATTTGCAGCCGGCCCTGCGGTTGGGCCCCAGAGTGGGGACTGGGGAGGGGCTTTGGGAGGGCACCCCTACCTGCTTGCCCCCCACCCCCCGAGCCTTCCCACTCTGCCTGCAGTCTGGGACTGGAGCTTCCAGAACCCTCTGCTGCCCAGGGGCCTAGGTGAGGGGCCATGTTCTCCTGGTGCCCAGAACAGGCTGGGCAAGCTGCCCTTGGGCTGTGGAGGGGCGGGGGCAGCGCTGTTGGAAGCTCAGGCTGGACTGGCAAGCCCCGCCCCGCCTCACTCCCATCCGGGCCGTTGGCACAGATGGCAGAGCCTGGCGTCCCCTGAGCCCTGGGCAGAAGCTGGGTCAGGGGCCTGCAAGCCTGTGTGCAGACCTGCATGTGGCCGGACCCCACTGATGGGCCTGGTGCCGCAGGAGGCAGGAGATGGGCCAGGGGAGGCGCAGGAGGGCAGCTGTGCTGGGCCAGACCCTGCAGGGCCAGGAGGGCAGAGAAGTGTCCTCCACTTGGGAGGCGAAGGCGAAGGTGACTCAGGGACCTGGAGAGTCAACAGCTTGGGTCCCAAAGAAATAAAATGGAAAGTTGACATTCCTTGAGGCTTTTCTTAGCTGGTACTCATGGCACCTCCATTTCAGATGGAGTCTTAGATCGACGCCACCCCCCCCCC